TTCGCATCTTCAAGGAATTTGGACTCGAGTTCAGAATGGAGAAAAACTGGTCGAATGGAATATTCGGGAAGATGGAACGCTCTACTTCAGGAATCGCCTTGCCGTTCCTCAAGTGGATGAGATATAGAAGACAATCGTTCACGAGGCTCACAAATCGAGATTCACTATTCACCCTGGGAGTACCAAGATGTATCAAGACCTCAAAAGGCAGTATTGGTGAAGAGGTATGAAGAAGGATGTTCGCCAATACGTGTCAGAATGTGCGACTTGTCTTTGAGTCAAGGCTGAACATTGAAAACCTGCTGGAGAACTGCAACCTCTTCCTGTTCCTGGATGGAAGTGGAGAACTTCATTCCCTTTCGTGCGACTTATTCCAGGAAAGTCCTAGCAGAGTTGTATGTGGAGCATGTTATCAGACTTCACGGAGTTCCGTTGTCTATCACATCAGATCGTGACACTCGTTTCAACGCTAGATATTGGAGAAGTTTCCAAGAAGCCATGGGAACCGAACTAAATTTCAACACCGCATTTCATCCTCAGACCGACGGATAATCTGAGTGAGTTATTCAGATTTTGGAGGACATGCTTCATGCTTACATTCTAGATTTTGGTGGAAACTGGAAGAAGTATCTTCATTTAGCTGAGTTCACCTACAACAACAGTTATCAGAGTAGCATTGGGATGGCCCCATTCGAAGCATTGTATGGCAGACCTTGTAGATCGCCAGTTCAGTATTGGTGAAGAGGTATGAAGAAGGATGTTCGCCAATACGTGTCAGAATGTGCGACTTGTCTTTGAGTTAAGGCGGAACATCAGAAACCTGCTGGAGAACTGTAGCCTCTTCCTGTTCCTGGATGGAAGTAGGAACACATTACGATGGATTTTCTAATGGGATTGTCGAGGACTGAACATTGGCATGATGCCATATGGGTCGTTGTGGATAGGTTAACGAAGTCCGCGCACTTCATTCCCTTTCGTGTGACTTATTCCATGAAAGTTCTAGCAGAGTTGTATCTGGAGCACGTTGTCAGACTTCACGGAGTTCCGTTGTCTATCACATCAGATCGTGACACTCGTTTCAACGCTAGATATTGGAGAAATTTTCAAGAAGCCATGGGAACCGAACTGAATTTCAGCACCGCATTTCATCCTCAGATCGACAGACAATCTGAGAGAGTTATTCAGATTTTGGAGGACATGTTTCGTGCTTGCATTTTAGATTTTGGTGGAAACTGGAAGAAGTATCTTCATTTAGCTGAGTTCGCCTACAACAACAGTTATCAGAGTAGCATTGGGATGGCCCCATTCAAAGCGTTGTATGACAGACCTTGTAGATCGCCAGTTTGTTAGCTTGAGTCAGAAGATCGACTGACCCTTGGCCCGGATGTTATCCAGGAGAATAATGAAAAGATAGCCGTGGTTCGGGAACGACTGTTAACGGCTCAAAGTCGTCAGAAGAGTTATGCTGACAGGAGGCGTAGACCCTTAGAGTTCTTAGAGGGTGATTTTGTCTTGTTAAGAGTCTCTCTGCGCAAAGGGGTTACTCGCTTTGGTGTGAAGGGGAAACTTGCGCTGAGGTACATTAGACCGTTTCAGATCACACAACGAGTCGGTGTCGTTGCTTACTGCCTTGATCTTCCTCCGGAATTGTCTCACGTGCACAATGTGTTCTATGTTTCAATGCTTCGAAAGTGTCAACCTGATCCAGAAGCCATTGTGCAATGGTATGACATGCCGATCCAGTATGACACGACTTATGAGGAAGCGCCCATACAGATTTTTGACCGGAAGATGAAAAGCCTACGTCAACGTGAGATACTGTTAGTGAAGGTGTTGTGGCAACACCATGGCGTTGAAGAAGCAACGTGAGAATTGGAAATGACGATGCAGGAACGATATCCGTATCTGTTCATATCGTGAGGTAAATTTCAATTTCAGGGACGAAATTTCTTAAGGGGGGTAGAATGTATCGCCCTCTAGAATTAAACATGTTTAATTATGCTAAACTATAGATTATTAGTGTGCCTAATTTAATTTTCACAATTAATCAATGGACTTTAAATTATTTTCAGTATTTATAATTTCACCCCAAAGATTTTTAGAAAACACACTTAAATTTTAATACATTTTTTTGTTCCATTTTTCTTTTTCCTTTTCTTTTCTTTTTCTTTTTCTTTTTTTTCTTTTCTTTTTTTCTTTTCCCTATTTCCCTTCCCGTGCGCCCAGCCCACTCTCCTTCTTTTTCTTTTTTTTTTCTTCTTCTTCTTCTCTGGTTCTTCCAGTGCCCAGCCCCCTCTCTCTCTCTCTCTATTTTCTTCCACCGCCGGCCACCTTCTTCTCCGGGCTTCCTCCCGCCAGCGTTCTCTCTCTCTCTCCCTTGCTCTCTCTCTCCCTCTCTCTCTCTGCAGTTTGGCCGAGAACCACCAAAGAAAAAAAAAACAAAAAACAGAGAAATTGAGGGAGACAAAGCTCGAGCAACTGCTTTGAGGTAAAACCCTTTGAAACCCATTCTTTGATTCAAATTTTAAGCTCGATAAAGTTTGATTTTAGTTTGATTTGAATAATTTTGAGTTAGGGTTTGAGTTTGAACAATTATTGTTGGAATTGAATGAAATTTGGGGATTTTTAGTTATTGAATTTGTTTAATTGATTAGAAACTGATTTTGATGGATTCTGGAGAATATATATTGAAATTGGACTTGAATTGCAGGTTTGACATTTTTCCTATTTATTCCGGCATGCTGCCGAAATTTTTTTAGAAACTTGTTTTTAAACTAAAATTAAATAAGAAAACCAAACCTATGGATTAGATTCTAATTTTTAAAGAACCCCCCAAACTGAATTATAAAATCATTGTGAAACTTGGATTTGAGTCAAGGCACACTAATAGGAAACAATTAAACATGATTGAACTTAATTCGTTTTAGGAATGAGAAATACTTCCTAAGATATTACTTTTGTGATAAAGCTAGTGGAGAAGGTCAAGTATTAAGGTTTTAAGGAAAGCGAAGGCTAGGAGAACTGAAGGCTAGTCCAGGTTTGACATCCAAGAGGTAAGATATTCTTGTCCATATCCTTTTTAGCCCCACTTTAAATGATTTTGGCCCATGAAAATGTTTTAGAACAAAACATGATTAAAGTAAATGATTTTAAAAGAAATAGCATGTGAATGCTATTAGGTTTGTCAATGATTTTAGAAATGAGATTTTAAAGAGTATCATTTCTTAAAATGAAATATTTTAAGGAATGATACAATGCATGGTGGCCTTAGAGATCGGGATGTGGGAATCGCATCCTTGGGGGCAGGTCCCGAACCCCGTACGGATTCACTTCTTGTTTAGTGGTATGATGAGCTGCACACTTTCATTATACAGACATATTCTATTATGTGAGTATTTCCTTTTTTTAAAAAAAAAAGATGATCAGTTCCGGGTGTATATCTTCGGACTGTGAGTACCTTTATTTTAAATGCTTTATGAAATTATATCCTACTTGGTCTTTCGCTCACATTTTTCTGTTTTCAAATGTATTAAACCCCTCCATGCGACGCCAGAAGTAGTGCGGAGTAGGTAGCTACTACCGGCGACGTGGACTTGTTTTAGGAAAGCGAAGTGTTGTATTTCCTCTTATCTCTTATCTTAAGACATGTATAAAAGATTATGGATTGTAAACTTAAATATTGCTAGACTGTGGTTGATGTCACATTTACTCTTATTTATATTCATGTATGCTAAACACTTGTGGGAATTCCCGACATGATATCAGGGACGTGGTTTTAAACTGGTTTGGTTAGAAATTCCACCACCGTTCTTGAAATTAAATTTCTCTTGAATGCAGGGGCTTGTTTGGAAATACCTGGATGTTTTGAATTTGAAAAAATAAATATTATAATGTTTTCAACATTATTTGCTAATCACTCTCTTAAACATGTTTAAGTTTCTAAACAAGCCTCCACGTCACTAACCCCGGTTTGGGGGTGTGACAATAACAATCAAATGTCAAATTTCTCATATGCTATAATTGGTGAGAAATTTATCATAAAATATAGCATATAAGAAATTTAACACAATTAATAGTATTGCATTATAGAGTTTTTTTTTTGCACTAAAAAACTAAATTTACAATTAACACATTAATTATAATATTGTATTAGAGATGCTGTTAGATTGGTGTGAATGCTGCTTGAATATCTATTAGATACTAATGTGTTTCTTAAATGTTTCAAACCCATGATTATGACATTTTGATACGTCTATTGCTTCAAAGAGATAGCTAATTATCTAAAAATTAGAAAATATTGATCTTTGCTTACAGAATTATATGAAGAAATGGGCACATGACTAATTTGAACATCAAAGCTTTTAGTAGTGTTTTGTAAGTAGAAAAGAAAATAGAAAAGGAGACGTATATTGTGTTTTGTGTAAATTCCCCTTCAAAAAAAAAAAAAAAGAAAGATTTGAGTTTTTCTTCACTAATCCATTTGTTTCTCCTTCTTCTGCTATCAAACGACTGGAAGTAATTATTCGGCCGCTATCTCTTCTTCTACTAATTTCATGAAAAACTTCGCTGAATTTTTGCTAATGACACCAGATTGCTAAAGTACATGAAATTGAAAAAAATAAAAAAACCAAAAGGAGAAAAGAAAAAAAAAAGAATCGGGAAAAATGTGATTTTATTTAAAAAAATTAAATATTATTATTTATAATAAAATTTAAATTTTAAAATTAAATAAAAAATAAAATAAACGGCGTTTAAAATAATCTTTAAGAAATGTGGAGTCATTAGTCAGCGTTGTCGTTGACTATTCAGACGAGGAAATGACTAGTTGGTGGGCCCTATGTTTCAATAGCCGACAAAAAAACACAACACTGTGATTTTTATAAATTATTCCGTTTCGTTTTGTAATGTATGACCTCACCGCCGTAGGATCCAACGAAAGACACGGACCATCCAACATTACCACCCACTCAATATGATTATGAGCCGATCTCATCATAAAACAAAACGACCCCAGAGGTAAAGAAGAAGAAGAAGAAGAAGGAGGGGAGAAACCTCAAACTTCAATTCCAAATCGCTAGAATTCTGAGATGCAATTCTGAAAAAAAAAAAGTCAGAATTTGTGTTTTGTTTGTTTTGAAATTCCATTCAAAACACAAGACAAGATTTATGGGCATCGCCTGCGACGACGTCATTGTGATCCAGCCGGGAAAATCCGCCGGCGAGCCCTCCGTCCTCACCGTCAATTGCCCCGACCAGGCCGGCCTCGGCTGCGATCTCTGCAGAATTATCTTGGAATTTGGCCTCTGCATTACCAAAGGAGGTAACTTTTTTTATTTGTTTTCTACATATAGATTTCGTGCATGATTTGTGATCACAAATGTTTGGGGTATAATCACCGCAATCGTCACCATTTCAATCGTTTTTAGCTCATTTCAACTATAAAGGACCATTACTATTTGTTTGCTTTTACTAGGAACAAAAACTTTTGCTTTTGAAAGCATGAGAGGTCAACAAAAACTTTTGCTTTTGAAAGCATAAGAGGTCAATTTTTTGCCTGGTTGCAGGTAAGAGCCACGAATAATTTTATCATGAACTTATCAAAATTAAGTAGGTTCAATACACCTGGGATGATTGAATTGAAGGGAGCTTAACTTTCAGCCAAAAATGGCTAAGAGCCAAGGATAAGAACAAAGATAGATTTCTAAATATTCTGATTTATGATGAAAAGCGACGTACAACTTAGGTCTCGTTCATTTCACCGATTCGAGTTTTCAGTTTTAAGTTTTTACAGTAAAAAGTTCTCAGAAAATGTCACATCTAATTTTTTCTGCTATAGTGAAACGTTCTCAGAAAATGTCACATCTCAACTCGAATTGAAAACTCAAATCCGCGAAGTGAACGAGGCCTTAGTCTTGTAGGGTTTAAGCTGTGCTTCCATTAGCCTAAACGCACTGTAGTTTGATTACAACCATAAAACGTCAATAAACTTAAAAGTCCTTAAACGGCACAAATGCATAAAAGAAAACGACACAAGCTAATTAAAGAAAGTAAAGATGAAAATTAGTTGTGGGCCTAGCACGCAGGCCCATGGGCCCTGCATCAGTCTTCCCCACCGAGAAAAGAACTCGTCTCAGAGTTCTCAAGAGCAGTTGGCGCGTCATCTGGAGGATGGTACTCAAAGAGATCTGCAACATTGAAAGTGTTAGAGATCTGCAGGTCGTTAGGGAGGTCAACTACATAGGCATTGTCATTAATCTTGCGGAGTATGCGACATGGTCCAATTTAATTCGCCAGTAGCTTGTGATGAGATCCAGCAGGTAGATGTTGCTTTCGGAGGTGAACCATGACCAACAAGTCCCCTTAGGTAAAAACTTTGAAGCGGCGGCGTTGATCTGCTTGTTGCTTGTAGCTTGTAGCGGGCATTGGCTTCCTCGAGTTTTTGCTGCACTTCCTGGTGAACTTGCACAAACTGATCAACAAACTCTAAAGCAGATTTGCTCTTGACGTGGGGAAAAGCCATAAGATCAATAGATTGGTTCGGAGTCTTGGTGTAGACAATGGAGAAAGGAGCTTGTGGAGTGATTTGGAACGCTGTTGTCAGCGAACTCAACCTGGGGAAGAGCGAGGTCCCAATTGCGAGGTTGATCCCGGGCAACACAACACAACATATTGCCTAACGAACGGTTTGGTCGTCGGTTTGTGGATGGTAGTCGTTGCTAACTGTAGTGTGGTGTTCAATCGCTGCCATAAAACCTTCCAAAAGGTGCTAATGAATTTAACATCCTAGTATGAGGTGATGGAAGTGGGGAGGCCGTGCAAACGAACTATCTCTTTGAAGAAAAGCTTGGCCACATAACTCGCATCTGCAACCTTTTTACAATGAAGGAAATGAGCCATTTTGGAGAAGCAGTCGACAACTAGAAATACAGAGTCAACATGCCGAGGGGTTTTCGGAAGTCCAAGGACGAAGTCCATGGTCAAATCCTCCCAAATATTAGCTGGAATGGGCAGGGGGTTATAGAGCCCCATGTTCTAGGAGTGCCCCTTGGCACACTGGCAAATGCTACATCGTTGGACAAACCGCTCAACTTGCTTTTTCATGTGAGTCCAATTATACATTCAGCCAAAATCTCTATAGTTTTGTCACACCCCGGACGGGCAGCGAGGCTGTTACAATGCAGCTCCCTGTTAGACCTCTAGTTCGGAAAGTATACGTGAGAAGGGCCAAGAGTGCTAAAGAGGCCCAGCCAAAATCTCTATAGTTTTGTCACACCCCGGACGGGCAGCGAGGCTGTTACAATGCAGCTCCTTGTTAGACCTCTAGTTCGGAAAGTATACGTGAGAAGGGCCAAGAGTGCTAAAGGGGCCCAGGCCCAAATGAGATGGGTCAGGATGGCCAGGCCCAGAGGAGATGGTTTAGCCCAGAGATGGGGAAGTAGCCAGCTAGGTGGCTGTTACGGGGAGGCGTGCGAGTTGGTTAGAGGCTGAGTGCTTAAGGGAGAGCATCGAGGTTGGGTGGGGGGATACGGAGATTTTGGGTCTGAATCGATAGTGGGAGGTTGTGGGATTCCTCGAAAATCCCTCTCTATCTTATTTCTTTCAAGCATTTCCTTCAATAATTTCTCTTGTAATTTCCTTCCATTTCTGACATTCAAGAGCTACGTTGAAGCTCCTTGTTGCTGGATAAATAGTTTGAATTTAATAAAAAGGGACTTCTAGCTTATTCTTGTCTCCAGATCGCAACTAACCGTAACAGTAGAGGCTAGGTTCCTAACATTTGGTATCAGAGCAGGTTATCCATGGCTCACAGCGCGCTGGCGGCGGGTACCCTGGAGCGCATCGCCGGATTGGAGGGCAGCGTCGAGTCGCTCAGGGAGACCGCCGTGGTGATGGGAGCTATGGTGGATCACGTACCTCAGCTACGAGAAGACATAGGGGCCTTAGGAATCCGGATCGGGGACGTTCAAGGGTCCCTTCTCCGTTTGGAGACACTGCTGGGCCGCCAGTTTGAGGCTCAGCCGCTGATGCTACCGCGCCGGGAACAGGGTCGAGATCGGGAGCGGAAGATGCAGAACGAGTCGCCAGATCGGGGCCGTGGCAGGATGGACCACCGTGGAAGACGACTGGAACTACCAATTTTCCAAGGGGACGACCCACATGGATGGGTGTTCCGCGCAGAACGTTACTTTGTCATCAATGGAGTCGAGGAGGAGGAGAGAGTAATGGCGGCTTCAGTGTGCATGGAGGGGAGGGCCCTCGGCTGGTTCCAATGGTTGGACTCTCAGGTACCTTTCGCCGGCTGGCGGGATTTAAAGGCAGCCATTCTCCACCGATTCAGCCGCGCGAAGGACGGTGATCCGACGGAGAGGCTGATGGCGTTGCGGCAGGAGGGCTCGGTGGTGGAGTACCGGGATCGTTTTGAGGCTCTGGCAGCTTCCCTGAGAGGTATTCCTAAACCTATTTTTCGTGGTGCTTTCCTTAATGGATTACGTGATGATGTGAGGGCTGAGGTTAAATTGCACCGACCCATTAACCTCCAAGAGATAATGGACTTGGCCTAACAAATTGAGGATAGGAATGAGGCGGTGGATAGGCTTAGGAAGGGAAAATTGGGCCGGGGGTGGAGATATGAGGATTTTGGGAAGGGAATGGGCTTGAGTGAGAAGCCCAACCCCCTTCTAGGACATTCGGGAAACTCCCTTCAGTCCAATCCATCGAAAGAGTCAACCACTACCACTCAGACCCGAGTGTGGCCTTTGCAGCCGACAGGGACGGCCGAAGGGGGAAGGGCTGGATTCAAGAGGCTGACGAATGAGGAGATCCAGAGACGACGGGCTAAGGGGCTGTGCTATAGGTGCGAGGAGAAATTCGGTCCAGGGCACCGTTGTAAGAACCGGCAGTTGCAGGTACTGTTGGTCTCGGACGAGGATGGGGATGAGGATGAAGAGGCAGCCGAGGTGTTGGAACCACCCACCGAGGAGATCGGAGGAATGGCGGGTCTCTCCTTGAATTCATTAATGGGAATTTCATCTTTTAACACTCTGAAAATGAAAGGGAGTATCGGCGACCGCGAGGTGGTGGTTTTGGTGGACAGTGGGGCTTCCCACAACTTCTTGTCCCTCCGAGTTGTTAGAGAGCTGCACCTTCCCATGACAACCACGGGGAGCTATGGAATCCAGGTAGGTGATGGCGCCTGTTTTAATCAACAGGGAGTGTGTAGGGGGGTGGAACTCCGAATCCAGGGGTATCAGGTTCTGGGGGATTTTGTTCCTTTTGAATTAGGATGTCCGGAGGTAGTGCTGGGGGTATCCTGGCTGAAAACACTCGGGGAGGTCAGGGCTGATTGGTGGAAGTTGACGTTGCGGTTTCAGTCCGACGCAGGGTGGAAGTGTTTAAAGGGGGACCCCACGCTGAAGCTGGAACCGGTGAGTTTAAGAGCCCTTTCTCGGACATTTCACGGGAATATGGCAGGGGCGTTGCTAGAGATTTTTGCGCTCGAAGGAGGGGTGGAAGGTAAGGCCCATGCTAGGGAACCCGAGGCTTTACAGGGGGTTTTGGTTCGGTTCGCGGCTGTTTTCGAGGCACCTGCGGGTTTACCGCCTAGCCGAGCGCAGGATCATCAGATCATTCTCAAACTAGGGGCGGAACTGCCGAATATTCGGCCGTACAGATACCCCCAAGTGCAGAAAAACGAGGTAGAGAAGCTCGTGGCAGAAATGTTAGCTTCTAGGGTTATTCGGCCAAGTAGCAGCCCATACTCCAGTCCAGTCCTTTTGGTTAAAAAAAGGATGGGAGTTGGCGCTTTTGCGTGGATTATCGTGCTCTCAATCGACTCACGGTGCCGGATAGATTTCCAATTCCCATCATCGACGAACTCCTGGACGAATTACACGGGGCTGCCATATTTTCAAAATTGGACCTTAGGGCCGGATATCATCAAATTCGAGTCAGGGAATTTGATGTCGAAAAAATTGCATTTCGAACGCATGAAGGCCATTACGAGTTCTTGGTCATGCCGTTCGGCCTGAGAAACGCACCAGCCACGTTCCAAGCGCTTATGAATAAGGTTTTTCAGCCTTACTTGCGCTGTTTTGTACTAGTATTCTTTGACGATATCCTGGTTTATAGCCGCACTTCGGAGGAGCATCAAGAGCACCTCGCTACTGTTTTGGAGGTCTTAACGAAGGAGCGGTTGTTCGCTAACAGGAAGAAATGTGCTTTCGGGCAGTAGCGACTAGAGTACTTAGGACATGTGATCTCGGCTGCAGGGGTGGTGGCTGACCCGATTAAGGTAGAGGCAATTTTAGCTTGGCCCACACC